GTGTGTCTTAAAAATGTTAAAAACAAACAGTTTTAATATGAGTACAGCTATGAGGTACTAAAAAGAAATAATCTTTTATGATTTTTTTTCTAAAAGTGAATTGAGTATTCCAGTAAAAAAAAAAGAAAAAGAATTGAGTATGAAGTTAGTGGTATAAAAAAATTAAATATAGACTTACATGAACCCTATTTAGAATCCCATATCGGACATAATGAGTCTGGTGTGAATGCTTATGTAGGATTTGACAATCTTCAACTTTGAGCCATGGTTTTGAGAGGTTAGGTAAAATCCATATCAATTGAATTGATTGATAATGGTTGTCATATTGTTGGGTTTTGAATATTTGTTGAAGCATATTTGATTTTCTAATGTCATAAAAATGTTACTAATTAGTTTTATTGGGGATAATAATAAGGAGGGAATTTGTGATTTTTTTAATGATGTTTGCTTTCTTGCATTTACTTTAGGAAAATATTAATGTGAGTAATTTGAGCATAGAAAGTGGTGTTATGCTTCATTTAAGTTTGAGAAAACTTTATTTATAAGTTTGAAATTAATTAAGATGTAAATTTTTTTAAGCAAGTGAGTGCGGATGATAATGAAGTTATCATCAAAGTTTTATTTTTAAAAGAAAAATGTTGATAAAATATTTTAAAAACAAAATAAGATCATCGATAAAATAAGACCCCGCGACATCTATTGTAAGCAACGAAATTGTTTAATTAGTTTTTTAAAAAAAATGTTAGCTTGAAATGTTTGATTTCGTATAAATATTAAAAATATTTACATGAAAAAAGAGAAGGTTTTATAAGAGTGTTTGACGAGACGTTGAATCTCGTTCCTATGTATCTCCCTGTGCGATGGAGAATTCAAAGATAGATAGATCTTGTAAAAAAAGTTTAATGGTTGGTTGATTTTAATTTTAAAAACGAGTTTAGCTGCGCTATAGTGAAAAAAGACTCGTTGATTAGGGGAAAAAACTCGCGCTTAGGCAGTAAACATTTGCTTAAGGAATCACTTAATTGCGCACGGGTAAAAAAGGAATTTGATTGGTTTTAGTTATTTTTATATGGAAGACAAGTATTTGAACTAGAATAAGGCGTGCACCTTATGTTCACTTACTTGAGGATAAAAAAGGTTGTGCACCTGATTATTCCTTTTTTAATTCGATTTTATTTATAAAAAAGGGTTTAAAGATTGTTATTAGTAATGTGGAAGACGAATGTTTCGACTAGAACGAAACATGGGCTTCGTGTTCGATTATTTAAAGAATAAAAGGGTGTGCACCCGATTATTCCCTTTTCATCTGATTCTAACTACAAAACTTATAATGTCATTATTATTATATTATTTTATGGAAGACGAATCTCAAATTAAAATGAGGCGTACACCTCATGCTCGATTATTCGGGGAATAAAATGGTGTACGTCCGATTATTCCTTTTTCATCCATTTTTATTTGTAAAAATTTTGAAAGTATTAAAAGAATGAATGAAAATAAATTAAAAAGTGAAAAAAAAATTATTTTTTTTAGATTTGTGAAGATTCAGACCAGAGTGACGAGTGTCACTTTGGTGACGGTTCAAACCATCACTTAGTCAAGAAGTGGTGACTCTCGTCACAATATTGTGACGGGCTGGTCGCCATCAACTTTCCAACCTATCCACTTCAAAAACCATGAGTTGGTTGGTGCTTTAGGGTTTTGATTTTGTTAGGATTTTTGCTTCTTTCTAAGTGAGACAAAGACTCCTCAATATGAATCAAAAGAGTGTAGCAAGGTTTTATTTGGTGGATTATATTTTATTCATGTAAATGGTGGTGATAAAAAATGACAAAGAGAAAGATGAAAAAGTCTTGCTTCAATGGAGAAAGAGTGGGAAAGTGGGAGAATTTTCATTTTTTTATAAATTTTTTCGAATTTGGAAAAATGATCAATAATAATAATAATAATAATAATAGAAAATAAAATAAATAAAAATAAATAAATATTTATTTATTAATTATTCATTTTTCTTTTAATTTAAAAACCAGGGGAAAATAAATTAAACAACAAAAAATGATAACAATGCATTAAAAAACAAAATAAATCGTAAAATCAACTTTAGAATTTTCCTAATTAAGAGTCAAAAGTGAATAAAACTCTAAATTTTTATTATTATTTTTGTTCTAAGATACACATATTGAAAATTAAGCTCTAGAGAAATAAAATTAGACCTTGACAAAATTGGGGTGCTATAAGTTGTTCTATTTGATCAATGATATCCTTACAATTGTGGTTAATCCTCATTGGCTTATAATACTTCTAGGTTATGGTGCATTTCCTTTCATCTTATTCCTTGATTGTAACTAGTATTACTATCATCGAATTCAGAAATAAAAAGTAAAAGAAGCACTAAAAAAGATGAGTAATAATAAGGCAATTAGAACAAACAAAATATATATTAAAATGTGGAAAATTATTGGAGATAGAACCATTGAGTTGCTCGCCAAACTATATAACGACAATATGAGGCCAAATCAATTATCAGATGAATGAAGAAGATTCAGTTTAGTTCTAATCTATAAGAACAATGATATATACAAAATAGTGATATTTATAGGGGATTAAAGTAATGTGTTTAACCATGCATTTATTGAAAAGAGTAATTGAACGAAGAATAAGAAAGAAGACTCAAATTACAGAGAATCAACTTGATTTTATGTTTGAGAGATTATTCGTTGAAGCGATATATTTACTATGATATGTCATAGAATAATATTGAATTGACAATTAAACAAGACTTGCATCTAATTTTCATTGACATAAAGAAGACATATGATAGGGTTCCTAAAGATATTTTGTGAAAATTCCTAGAGGAGAAATGAGGTTAGGATTGCCTATATTCGAGCTATCCAAGATATGTATGTAATAGTATCGACTAGTGTACAAACACAGGGTAGAGAGACACACAATTTTCCCATTAAAATAGGATTGCACTAAGGTTGATCCCTAAACTTTAATCGTTTTACTTTAGTTTCGAATGTACTCACAGTACACATTCAAGACTAGAATCGAGATGTATACTTTTTACATATGATATAGTCATACGTGGAGATTAGAAAAAGAATTTAAATGAGAGGTTGGAGACGAGCCTTAGAAATGCATGACATTTGCCTTAGTAGAAGCAAAACGAATTATATGGAATGTAAGTTCGACAAAAGGAGAAATATTTCTAACTTAGAGGTGAAAGTTGGAGGTTATGTCATTAAATATATTTGGTTCATAATATAAAATGATGGAGAAATAGAAATAGATGTAAAAAATCAAATTCAAGCCGAGCAGCTAAAATAGAGGAGAGTCTCAAGGGTTTTATGTGATATAAAAGTACTCTTTAAGTTGAAGTGAAAATTTTATCGGATAGAGGTTAGATCAACGATGTTGTATGAGACATAATGTTGGATAACTAATAATCAACGCAAGAATAAAGTAAATGAGCAACAATGAGGATGTTGCGTTGGATGTGTGATAAGACTAAACACAATGAGCTTAAAAATGACAGTATTATAGAGAATGTTGGGTAACAACTATAGTAAAAAAAATAGTTAAAAATAGGCTTAGATGATTTTGATACGTATAGAGAAGATATATAAATTATGTTGTAAGAAGAGAAGATCAAATGCAGATGAGTCAAACAGTTATAGGTAGAAAAAGACCTAAAAAAACTATTAAAAATTATTAAAAAGTATTTTGAGATTAACAAGTTGGATAAAAACATAATAATAAATAAAACATCATGGTAGAATTTAATCGAAACAAGATAAGAGTTGAATGTTGTTTTTGTATTTATTAATATAAACTTTTCACATATTAGTGATAATATATCTCTAAAATTAATATTAAGACACAAGTTCAAGTCTTACATTTTGTATTTTATTTATTTATTTTTTTAAATTAGTTAACGAAATAACATTGTTAATGATTTCTTAAATTAATTTTTTTAACATGTCAGCATCATTTTAAAATTAGGGGGCCAAAATCACCTTATTCCATATCATAGCATTTAAATTGAATTTAATCTAATAGTTAAATTAGCATTTTTACTTATAACCATTTGATTAAATCTAATTTAAAAGTTATGATTGTAAAGTAAGTTATAAAAACTTATTCTTAAAGTAAGTGGATCCTCATATATATATATATATATATATATATATATATATATATATATATATATATATATATATATATATATATATATATATATATATATATATATATATATATATATATATATATATATATATATATATATATATATATATATATATATATATATATATATATATATATATATATATATATTATAAAAAAAAGAAAGAGCTATAAAAAAATAAACAAACACAACTATACTATCAAAAATAACCTAAAGGATCTAAAAGCTAATCTTTTCTATCACAAACTAGGTTATTCTTAAATCTAGATCTAAACTAGTCTCACGAAAGCGATTCCACTAAAGAAATAATTTCTCTTACACTTTTATACCCTTCCTTAGTAAAAGTTTCATATGGTCCAACTAACTGCTAGCCATAACAGTAATAGGAAATTCTTCTTAGTCCTTCCTTTCATAGATATTTTAAAAGTCAACAAATGATCCAAAATAGTTGCACAAGAACTTAACTTGAAATGATCAATCCAATCCATAATTTAAAAATCAAACAGACTCGGCCACAGAGCAGAAAAGAAAAAGATGAAAGTGTAATTCTGATGGTCCCAAGTACAAAGGACAAACAAGGTTATGTACTCCTAAAATTGCTCCTCATTTTGCCAATTCATATCTCGTTTTAAGTCTATTGAGGAGGAGCTCCCACATAAAAAAATGAATTGATATTGTTGGAAACTTTTAATTTTTAAACATTCTTCAAAGTAGGAGAGAAATTTCGAACCCATTGTGGGCCTGTACGAGATAGGGACATCAACTTGGAAAAAAGAAATCTAACAAAAAAACACGATGAGTTGCGCCATTAAACAAATGTATCAAGTCTATCAGGAATAAGGTAAACATTAATCAGACTATTTGGAAGATCATCCCAATCAGTTCTTGTCGAGCCTTGAAGCAATTCCAAATTAATGTCCACAGTCAAATTCCAAACACCATTAAACCAATTGCCTGATTCACTGACATTTGATCTAGAGCGCTGCACTAAACCAAACAGATTAGGAAACTGCACTCTCAAAGGTTCTGATCCTAAGCACTTATACCTCAAAATGTTGATTGTTGATCCATTTCCTAGCTTACATGAAATACCATTACCAAATCAGTTTGAGTTTTAACCACAAGATCCTAAGGAAATCCTAAGGTTCCTTCACTATACAGAAGATTTTCTATTATTAACTGCCCAAGAAGGATCGAGAATTAATTCCTTGATGTCACAGTATTTGAAGGTTAAAAGCGGATACCAACTTGAGCTATCATCTGCCAGTATTTTCCAAGCCCATTCAATTATTAGTTTTAAGTTGAACAATTCACAGTGTTTTACGTCTATACCCCCTTCACTTTTCTATTTACAAATTGTAGACCATGAAACCCAATTATATATTTATTATTTTTCTTCCCCATTCTAAAGAAATGCCTCTGAATCCTAATAATTTCTTGAACTTCTACTTTAGGAGATTTTTAAAACGAGAAGAAGTAGAAAGGAATTAAAATTAGAATTGAATTTAAGAGAGTCACTCGATCTTCAAGAGAGACAGATTTACCTTTCCAAGAATATAACATATTTTAAAGCTTTGAAAGAACATGTTTCCAAGATGAGCGCCTTCGCAGATTATCTCAATTAGAGTGCCTAGAAAAGAAAATTGAAAAGGGACTGATTGTACAAGCTAAAAAAATCAGAAGTCACCATCAAGAATTTAGAATCCACGTCGAAAACCCATAGTTTTGCTTTTGTGGAACTTAACACTTAAAACCCGAAACTATTTCGAATCCGCAAAGAACAACTTTAATAGACAATATGTTCTCCCAAGAGGCATGACCCGCAATCAAGTATCATTCGCAAATTAAAAAAGGTTGAACTTAAGATTGTAGGACAACTTGAATGGATTGAACCTGAGGCTTGTGCACACATTTTTTCAACAAGCCTGCCAAACCTTCAATTGCAAGAATAAAAAGGAATAGAGAGAGAAGGTCCCCTTGACAAAACCCTCTCTTTGTTTGAAAATCAACGTCTGGACTTCCGTTTATAAGGACCTAAAGAGAGCTGGAACAAATGCAAGTCTAGACCCATTTAATCAATTTGGTTTTAAACTTCATACGTTTAAGAATGTATAACAAATAATCCTAAAAAGCTAAATCAAATACCTTTACAAAATCAACTTCGAAAAGGAAATTTTCTTTCTTATTTCTTGGAGCAAAGTCCATCAACTAATTTATCACTACTACTACGTTTAACATACTTCTATTAGGACAATAAGAACTATCGTGATTGTCTTTGATAGATAAATCTGCAAACAAAAATTCATTAACATAATCAAAAAGATCATGGTTAATAATTTCCCAACAAACCTCAAAGAAAGCCATCGAAAAACCGTCCGGACCCGGACTTACACTTTTTAGATTTTCTATGTTATTTTTCAAAATATTAATAAAAAAAAGTTACAGCTATTTGAAAACAACGGGTATAATAGTATGTGTAGACACGTGTATGCCTACTCTTTCTCACACCCTATGAGATTTCACTCCAAAAAGTACCAAAGTTCCAAATCTAGATTTAGACTTCTCAAACAAAAACTTTTTGTAAATTTGGTTGAATGTGTGGTCACAGAGCAAACTCAATGTTAAAAACAATCAGACAAAATTTCAACTCCAAGTAAAATTTATTTCCCAAATAACCAAAAAGTTAATACGAATTTGATACGTCTTAATCAATGTTTGTCGTTCTCAAAAATGGATCCAAAGATATAATAATAAATTTTGGAACCAATAACTTGTAAAATGTCATACTATAGTATTAAAATATAAAACAGCACCCCACCTACCTGCCATGCTTGTTACTAATGGTCTCCAACCAGTAGTATAGTATAGTATAGTACCTTCTTCTTCTTCTACTTCTACTTCTACTTCTACCTTCTTTCATCACTTCACCTAACTAGTTTCTCTATCATTCTTTCATACTTGTACATTATATATCATTCATAGTTCATCTGTAATGCTTGTCAATTAACAGGTAACAATGTGCTGTTTTTTTTCTGTAAGCTTTTATACAGCTAGTTTCTTGTTTAGTTTTTATCATGTAGTTATTTTTTGTGAAAGAAAATTAGTATATTTTGAGCAATGAACTTCGGTATTGCTAGTTCATACCGGTAAACAAACATCTGAGTTTTTTTTAGTTAGAGATTTGTAACTGTGAAAACAAAAATTGATGTTTATATCATTGTTGTTGTGGCTGTTTGGATTAGGAAAAACTAGGAAAGGAATGCAGGCTTTCTGGTTGATGTTGTTGTTGATGGTGAATATTGCTTTGGGGAATTCAGATATTGATGCACTTCTTGAATTCAAGAAGGGTATTGAAAGTGATCCTTTTGGAGTAGTTCTTGATTCTTGGGATTCCAAGTCATTAGACTCTAATGGATGTCCTGGAAACTGGTATGGAATATTCTGTAGTGATGGGAGTGTTATATCTATCGCTCTTCACAATGCCGGGTTGGTTGGCGAGTTTAACTTTCTTGCAATTAGTACTCTTCCAATGCTTCGTAATTTGACAGTTGTAAACAATAGTTTCACTGGAAGTATGTCAAGGATTGCTCCAATGAGATCGCTTAAGTTTCTCGATTTGTCTCTCAACAAGTTCACCGGTTCGTTTCCTTCTACCTTCGTTGAATCGCGTGGTTTAGTGTATCTGAATTTCTCTTCGAATGGATTTAGCGGTACTCTCCCGAACGTGTTTCACAAACTTGAGCAGTTGAAGTATTTAGATATTCGCGGGAATAACTTTTCTGGTGATGTTATGCATGTCTTTTATCAGATGGGAAGTGTGTTACATGTTGATTTAAGCAACAACAGGTTTTCTGGTGCATTGGATTTAGGACTTGGGGATGTTTCGTTTCTGTTCTCGATTCGATATTTAAATGCTAGCCATAATTCGTTGACGGGTGAACTATTTGCTCATGATGGTATGCCGTACCTTGATAATTTAGAGGTCTTTGATGCTAGTAATAACCAGATAGTTGGTAATATACCTTCCTTTGCGTTTGTTGTATCGTTAAGGATTCTTCGGCTCGAATGCAATCAGTTGACAGGTTCCCTGCCAGAAACTTTGTTGAAGGAAAGTTCAATGATGTTGTCTGAACTAGATCTTAGTCAAAACAAGCTTGAAGGTACCTCAGGTGTTAACGTGTCAGCGTCAGTGTTGTGTTTCGTGTGTCCATGCTTCATATAGATTACATACTTTTCTCTTACCTTACAATTGTAGAATTTTCCTTGCAGGTTCCATTGGAAGCATTACTTCATTGACTCTAAGGAAGCTTAATATATCTTCAAACAAATTATCAGGCTCATTACCTTTCAAAGTAGGACACTGTGCCGTCGTAGATTTGAGTAACAACATGTTGTCAGGTAACTTGTCAAGGATCAAGTATTGGGGAAACTATGTAGAAGTTATTCAGCTAAGTTCAAACTCGTTATCCGGAACACTTCCGAACGAAACTTCTCAGTTTTTAAGGTTAACTTCACTTAAGGTATCCAATAACTCAATGGAGGGCTTTCTGCCACCAGTTTTAGGAACATTTCCAGAACTAAAAGAGATTGATTTGAGTCTCAACCGGCTTTCTGGATTCCTCCTACCAACTCTTCTCGCCTCGACCAAATTGACTAGTCTTAATCTCTCAAACAATAAGTTTTCTGGAACAATTCCTTTTCAACTTCCGAGTAGTTCATTGGTTTCTTCCGAAAATCTTAGTCTGACTTCGCTTGATCTTTCGAACAATAACTTGAGTGGAATTCTTTCTCCGAAAATTAAGGAGCTTCATAATTTGGAATATCTTAACCTTTGTAACAACAAATTGGAAGGTACTATTCCTAATGATCTTTCAGATGAATTAAGAGGATTCAATGTGTCCTTAAATAATTTTTCTGGTGTTGTACCTGATAACTTATTGCAGTTTCCTGAATCGGCTTTTCGGCCAGGAAATCCTATGCTGATATATCCGAATTCTCGGTTATCGCCTAAAGATAGTTCAAATTCCATCCTAGGTTTGAGGTCACATAAGAAAATTTTCACTAGGAGTGTCTTGATAACATGTTTAGTTACTGGTGTTTCTGTGATGGCTATTATGGCTGCAACGATTTTTTATAGGATTTGTCGGAAAAAAGAAAAGGATTCTAAACAAGACGCGGCCGCAAGTGACATTGTCCAAGAGAGTACTTTTCCATCAAAGGGAAGGAATTTGGAATCATTGCCACCTTCTCAAAGTGATGATACCAAAAACATTCATCCAACTGTAAAGAAGCCTGAACACCCTGAATTAGTTAAGAACGATGAAGGAACGTCTTCGCCAATGTCTATTTTATCGGCTTCAAACCCTTCACCTTCTACAAGCCGTCAGTTCGAGAATCCTAGTTCGCTCAATGTATCATCTCCGGATAAACTGGTCGGGGACTTACATCTATTCGATGGATCATTGATATTAACAGCAGAAGAACTTTCGTGTGCTCCGGCTGAAGTTATCGGTAGGAGTTGTCATGGAACACTCTACAAAGCTACACTTGAATCTGGTCATGTTTTGGCTGTCAAATGGTTACGAGAAGGAATAACTAAAGGAAAAAAAGAGTTGGCGAGAGAAATCAAGAAACTCGGGACAATCAAGCATCCGAGTTTGGTTTCTTTTCTCGGCTGCTACCTCGGGCCAAAGGAGCATGAGAGACTGATTATATCAAATTTCATGAATGCATATTCTTTGGACATTTATCTCCACGGTAAGATCGTCGCTTCATATTTGGATTACGCCTTTTGTTTCTCGCCAGATAGACATATGATACTAAGTGATCATGTTAGTTTCTAGGATTTGAACCATAAATCTGTTTACATAAGCTGTTTTCAATTTTATAGCTTAGAAAAATAGCTTCTGCGAAAACAATTTTATAGAAATAGTTTATATACAAGTACTTATTCATGGATTCTTTCAAAAAATTTCTGCAGAAGCTGATAGAAGAAATCTTAATCCTTTGTCCCTTGATGAAAGGCATAGGGTGGCCGTAGAAGTTGCGCGGTGTCTACTTTACCTACACACCGAGAAAGCCATACCTCATGGCAATCTCAAATCCACAAACATTCTCCTAGAAAGTCCAAACAGAAATGCCTTGCTCACTGACTACACCCTGCACCGAATACTCACGGCGGCTGGCACTTCCGAGCAAGTTCTGAATGCAGGCGCGCTTGGTTACCGCCCGCCCGAGTTTGCTAGATCAACCAAACCAAGCCCTTCGTTAAAGAGTGACGTGTACGCATTCGGAGTCGTGTTGTTAGAGCTTCTAACAGGAAGAAAATCAGGAGAAATCGTGTCGGGGATTCCTGGCGTGGTTGAACTTACCGAATGGGTGAGATTCTTAGTGGAACGAGATCGCTCTAACCAATGCATTGAAAAGTCCCTTGCAGAAGGATCATCTATAATTCTTGATGACATGCTAAAAGTGGCTATAAGATGCATTCTTCCAGCATCTGAAAGGCCTGACATGAAAACTGTCTTTGAAGATCTTTCAACAATAAGGGAGAGTTGATGGTCACAACCTCAACCATTGGCATCAT